AAAAAAAAAAAAAAAAAAATTTAATGATGCACACATTTCAAAATGAAAAAAAAAATTTGGGTGCGGGGATTGAACTCAGGTCCTCGCGTGTGCCCTCAAAATGAAATTTAAAAAGCCAAATGAAAATGGCCTTTAGGGCTGGGGATTTAGCCACCATGCCTGCCTTGCAAGTATAAGGTCCTGGGCTCAATCTCCAGTACCAAAAAAACAACAGAACAGAGACAGGGATTTAGCTCAATAGTGCTGCCACCTGCCTTGAAAGCGCAAGGTCCTGAGTTTGATCCTGAGTACCACAGGGAAAAAGAAAAAAAGAAAATAGCCTTTGGATAATTCCAGCACTTAGGAGGGTAAGGCAGGAGAATGACTGCAAGTTTGAGGCCAGCCTGGGCTACATACTGAGTTCAAGGCCAGCCTGAACTACATAGCAAGACTGTCTCAGAAAAACAACAAAAACCCAAAAATGGCCTTTGTTGTATGTTATTGTAGTTCTCCCTTGATGCAGATAATTGAAAACTGCCTGAGTTTGTTCTCAGCTTGCAGTTTATGCTGAGAGATTTCAAGATGGAGTAAGTTGCAGAACTCAAAGCCTGGTCTCTTAGTACCTGGGTCAAATAAAAGTCACTTCATTTCCCTGGTCCCCTCTGTAGATTCGAAGTTTGCCTTTTCTTCTTTAGGTAGCAATATGGATAAAAATGGGCTTATGACAGTACTTTACAAAATTGAAGGTACTGTAAAAGTACAGGTCAACATTATTTGATGGCACTATACCTTTGGTAACCGATTTCTGGCCTCTTTTCAGGGATCAAGTTTGTGGTGTTGGCAGATCCTAGGCAAGCTGGAATCGATTCTCTTCTCCGAAAAATTTATGAGATTTACTCAGATTTTGCCCTAAAGAATCCATTCTACTCTCTGGAAATGCCCATCAGGTAGGTGGCCTTATTCTCCAGATATTGTTCAAAGCCTTACACTCTCCCCCAAATCATTTGAAATATAGCAGAATATTACAGGTTTTTGTTGTGTTTTTTTTGGTACTGGGGATTGAACTCGGGTCCTTGTCCTTGCGAGATAGGCGGCGGAACCACTGAGCTAAACCCCCGGCCCAGCAGAATATTACTTTTAAGTAAAAGTGACTAGCCTTTTATTAATTCAGAAAATTTACAAAGACTTTGCTTGGAGTTTTATGTCCTTCAAGTGGTGTTTCCACTGACTGTCTATATCTAAAGTGGGGAGAGCCTCAGGCCTCAGTTTTTTCTTTGTCTCCTCGATCTGGCCTAGGTGTGAGCTGTTTGACCAGAACCTGAAGCTAGCTCTGGAAGTAGCAGAAAAGGCCGGGACTTTTGGACCAGGATCATAAGCTAAACCTGCTTTGGACTTACAAATTCAGAGAAGTCTTGTAGCAAGGGTTCCACTGTTTCCACTCTCAACAGGGCATCCAGCAGCCTTGCTAGTGTACTTGAAAACGGAGACTATCTAGCCTGATGACACACGTTGATCCCTGAGCCTTAACTCTGTGCTCTCTTCCCTTTTGTATACATCGTGGTCCTTCTTCCTAACTCTGTACAGATTTATTCATGGAGGAGGTAGGCTCGTAAGTGCTGTAATAAACATTTCTTTGATCCAACATTTCCTGTCATAACTGATGGTTTTGAGGAAAGGCATGGGAAAGAAAAACAAATGGTATGGGAATTCTGAGAAGCTGAGATAGTGTTCTAGTAGAAAACAAAGCAAGTATGTTCACTGAGTATGTATTGAATGTAATACTTGAATCGGGTGTCCTGGATGTCGTCCTTGATCTGCTGCTTTCCTGGCTTGAGGTGGCAGTGGTGATGGAGATGGAACATTTGCCCAGCACTTAGAGCTAGGCCTTCTTGCTTTATCTCACTCCATCTCCACCCCGCCAGGGTGTATGTTCTCTTACAGGAGTTAGCAAGTACAAACTATGCCTCAGTCTCCAGGCTCGTTACCAACAGCCTGAATTTGCACCCACACTTTCTGACCATACTACCATCAAAGTGCTGTTGTACTACCTCCAGCCAAGTTATTTAACCTGCCTGCGTTCCAATAGCTTTGTCTCTGTATACTGATCACTGAAGTACAATATTCAGCTAAAGACAGGGGAGGTATACAGCCTGGGATATAGCTTGGCAGTGCTTGGCCTGCCTGGCTAGTGCAAGGTCCTGGGTTCAATTTGCAGTATTGTAAAAACAAAAGGGGCTGGGATGCTCAGTGCAAAGGCCCTAGGTTCAATCCCCAATACAAAAAAAAAAAAAAACAGGAGAGGCATGAGTGTAAAGGCTCCATTCCACACTTTGCATTCCAGGGAAAAGTTCAGGTGTTAAGATAATTTTTTTCCCCTTTGGTACCAGTAATCACTCAGGGGCTTGAGCTTGCCAGGCAAGCATTGTGCCACTGAACTATATCCCTGGCCAACAAGATAATTTCTCAGGGAAAGCTTTCGCTGGCTTATTTTACGCCTTTTGAAAGAATGAGTCACTCACTGACTGCTTTATATCAAATCTAGTTTTAATTTTCTATAACAAGTCATCTTGCCCTCCTAATAGTTCTTTACTGTACTCAGGATGTTGGTGAGAGTAGTAGCCTCCTCTCTTACCCTGAAGATTCAGGTATTAGCAAAAGGTGTTGCCCAGTGCCAAGAGGTCTCAGGATACAGCGGAAATCACAAAGGACAGCCTTAGCTCAGATGGGGATGGGTAGTTTGGGGGTAGGACAAGGCTGAGGAGAGACAGAAAGGTAAGGGACATTCACATCCAGTTTCCTATTCATTTGAAAGCAGGAAATAGCTAATGGAGTCCAAAAACAAAGGTTGTCTTTTAAATGGAGGACAGGATGGGGAGCTGAATCCTTATGAGACACTGATAACTTCCGGTGCCACTTAGGCGAAGGACAGAGATGGAATACGGAAGGCTCAGTGCTAGCCCAGGCAGCCTTCCTTTCAGTGCAGGGTAGGCCACAGGTGAGGGGGTGCTCCAGAGCCAGCACTTTTCACTCGGCCTTCTTGGGCACTCGGCCCATCTTGGTGCGGATGTTTCGAAGCAGGAAGAAAGTAGCTGTACTGACTGCACAGATCACTTCCGCCACCCAGAAGGCTGTGCTCCAACTGTAGTGCTTGGCGATGGTGCTGAAGGGTAACCCGGCCAGAAAGCCACCCACTGTCAGAGAGGAGAGAAGAGCCTGAGACCTTGTGAGGAGAAAGCAGGTGGGGTGGCTCCTGCCTCTAAGCAAGGCAGAGAGAGAGCGAGGCATATACCCTTGGAAGTATCACTTACCATTGGCCATTAGTCCTACAATGGCATGAGAGGTGCCACACAAGTTGGAAGGGGCACTCTCGTTGGCGATTACTCCAAACAAGGCAATGGGACCATAAGAGGAAAAGCCAAACACAGCACCCAGCACCAGGATCCAGATCTGCAAGGGCAGGGCAGAGTGGCATTCAGAGTAAGAAACTCCACTCCCTCCCTGCCTGCCCCTGCCAGAGGAGAGACAAGTGCTTAGCCCCCAGGAACAAGTAGTAATAAAGAGACAATAAGTGACCCTCCTCATCCCACTCCCCACTCCAGCTGACAGTAAAGAGCCAGAATGACAGGGTGGATGGGCCCTGAGCCAGCCCAAGAGAGGAGGCGGGCAGGAAGGGGAGCTTCAGGAGCCATCCCTCTGACTCGGATTCTGTTTGGGAATTTACACCAGCTTGATTGATGAGGGGCAAGGCAGAAGGTGAGGGCAAAGAGCCAGGGAGAAACCAGAGATATCTTCAAGGCACCTCATGTTCTGTAAAGCCTGTGAGCTCAGCGAGAGGATGGAGAGCCGGAGTCCAGAAAGCAACTTCCTAGAGGAGCAGAAAGAAGAGAAGAGAAGCAGACCCGGAGTGGAGGAGAGGAACCAAAATACAGAGAAGAGCTGAAGTGCAAACAACTGAAAATGGAAACCAAAGGCAGAGAAAGGACTGGCCCAGGCAGGAGCAGGGAAACAGTCAATGGCCCTGGTTTTCTCTCCTTGTACTCTGCTATGGCCCAAGCTCTCCATATTTACCTTGGGGGAGTCACTGGTCACTGTTACCCGGAAGAGGTACATAGATGCTGTCATGCCAGCCATCATGAACAGCAGCAGGCCATGGCGAGGGTTCCCATAGACAGATAGCCCCGCCTGTGAATACAGGCCCAGGGATGTCAGGTGCCCACTCTGGACTCTGACACAGCAGGGCCTCTACTGACAGGTCTTTGGCAATCCCATCACAGTTCTTGGCTCCAGGGAGCTCTGGGAGGCCCTAGGAGCTACTCATGTCCTGAGGCCAAATTCCACACCCTCCCTTCCTCCACCTTGGCACAGGTTTGGGACACGTGCTGGGGAGCTGTACTCAGTCTGCTACCACCCTATTTTCCTCGAGCAGTGGAGAAACCTACAGCTAGGCTGAGAGAAATTCTCCCTGACCTCTGTTAAAAACCTCTCTCCAACAGCCTTATCTCTATATCCTAGGGAAGATAACAGTAGACTGGAATCATTCCCACCTCACCCAACCTAAACCCACATAAGCCACCAGGCCTATGTCCCAGCACTCCCATTACTCTCTCTGCCTCAGCTACACCAGGAAGACCGACCCAAAGGGATGTTTCCTCTCCTGCCCACTCACCTTTGCCATGGCCCGGTCTGACAAGTAGCCAGCTGCGATGCTGCCCACAAGACCCCCTACCTCCAGGGCACTCATGTAGGAGCTACCTGCAGTAGAGAGTTATGGTGGAGAAAGGGAACTGTAGGGTAAAAGGCTGTCACATATTAGAGTTGTCCCACAACTGCTTGAAGGCTGCGGAGTTGCAAAGATACCAAGGGTGACCAGCCATAGCTGTGTGACTACTGCCCAACCTCAAGGAAAGAATAAACAGGATAAGGGAACAAGGGTTTGGATTTCTCATCGCCTTGGTTCCTGCTCTTATGCCCTGGTATTCATCTTACCCACGAGGGCGGACTGCCCTCTCTCCTGGATAAGGAAGAACTGGCCCCAATCTGTACAGCAAGTCTTTACTCCAAACACCACAAGGTAGCCTGTAGAAAGTACCCACAGGTATGGTGACAGCAGCAGCTCCTGTAGGGTACTCTCGTCCTTCAAGGAACCTGGAGGTGAGAAGAGACCAGGCCTCAGGCTCTGCTTTTGCTGCCCCGCCCCCGCCCCCATTAACCAGCCACAGAAGCAGAGTCCATGGGCATAGCCAGGTCCAGTTGAAAAGTATCCCTTTACACCCCTGCTTCCAAAACCCCACTGCAAGTCTCAATAAATGAAAGAGAAACAGAACTAGGGCAGATGGAGGAAGGTACTCAAACCACTTAGGTTGTGCTCTAGCCCACAGAAGCCTGCTGTTTCGGGAAAGGATAGGACATAACATGAGTCACATCACCTGTTGGCTCTGTCTCTTGAGATAGTTTTATTTATTCCCCATGCAACTTCCATGGCCACCCCTTCCTTATATCCACTGGCCAGCTTAGGCATAAGTCTAGTCCTCAACAACATTCTGACCAAATCAATGATGAACGCAGTCCCCTGGTGGTTGGTTTGGGTAGAAGCTCACCCTTCTTGCCCTTGGATGGGGTAGGGTCCAGGTTGCGTAGTCCAACATCAGCAGGTTCATTATGGATGAGGAGGAGACAGAGGAAGGAGACAGCCACACAGAGTGCCCCAGACAGGGCCAGAGTGCTGCGCCAGCTGTAGCTCTGGGCAAGGATGGTGGCCAGGATTGGGCCCAGCCCGCCAGCCAGGTTCATACTAGTTGACAGGATGGCCCACCAGGTGCCAAATTGAGATGGCTCAAACCACTGTGAGGCAGAGGGAGACAGAGTAGGTGCCAGGTCTCCAGCCCATGTCGAATGTTGGGCTTATGTCAGGGAGATCCAGAAGCTCACATTACAGGGGTAAGGGAGAGAGTACTTCTACTTGACAGGGCCAGCTCCCTCATCTGTCACCTGATCCCACCACTCTTGTCTGCTAAAATATCTTGACAAGCAATAGGAGCTGGCTCGGAACTGCTGGGGGCGGTCGTGGTAAGAAAGGGTGCTCCCCCACGCTAATTAGGTATCCTCTATGCCAGCGGGGGCAAGCCTATAACACGTGTGCCATAGCGGGCTGTTTGTATCCCTGAAAGCTCTAAAAGTTCCCCAGCACTGCTCTATGCCAATCCAGCAGGCTTGTTGGAAGCACTCACCTTCCGCAGGATCTTCCCACAAGGGGGCCAGCCAAGCCCCTGTGCCAGGCCATTAAGGAACCAAAGAGCAGCAAAGACAGGTACTGTGGAGCTCCAGGAAAAGACTACATTGACCAGGCCAACCAGGAGCAACCCAGAGGAGAAGAGCCAACGAGCACTCATCTGGTCGGACAGCACCCCGCTCACAAACTTGCTGATGGCATAGGCCGCCGACTGGCTGCTGGTGATGAGTCCTGCAGTGGAGGGGAGCAGGGAGCAGGACACCTGGGGGGTTAGGGGCAGGGCAGAGGCACAGGAAGGGTGGAGGAAGGCATGGGATCAGGTGTGTAGAGGTGGCCGGCAGGGTACGACAAGTTTCTTCTCCAAGGAACAGGAGCCTGCACTGCAATTGGTGACACTGCCTCTGCTGATGCTTCTGCCTGCCCCACCAGCAGCACTAGCCCTAAGCTGACTTCAGATTTTTCCGCCCCCAGAGAGCTCCAGCAGCAGCTACTGGGGACAAGAAGGAAACAGCTCTCCTCTATGGGAGCTGCATATACCCGATCTCCCACCGCACCCTGGACACCAGGCTGAGGCATTGGGCAGCTCTGTCACCCTATCTCTGAACACGGGGTGAAAGGTTCAGGATTGGATGGGGATCTTGTTCTTCCTGTGGGGTAGCATGCCAGGCCACATGAGATCACTAACTTCCCAGCACTCCCCTGCAGCTTCAGCATGCACCCACACAGTGGAGAAACCTTGCCCAGAGCCCCCACAACAGCATGGACAGGTGGATCATGGGCATATTCATACCAGAAAGGCACCCTCCTCAGTCCTCTACCCACACCCAGGGGCACACAGTGACTGGCCCAGCCCTGCTGTGCAGACCCTCCATGTAGACTGCATGCCTGTGCACACCATACTGTCACACTCAGTGTGCCCTGTGAGTTTTGTGTCCCAGGGCCCACCACCCTGCCCTTCAGGGCTCACCCAAATCATCCTTGTCCAAAGGGATCTCTTCCACCAATGCTGGCATGACAAAAGAGAAGGTCTTGCGGTTGAAGTAGTACAGACTATAGCCCCCAAACATGGCTGAGAAGATCACAGTTCGATAATAGCCATAGCCTTGGCCCGCCATGGTAGAAGAGTAGGTCCTACCAGGCAGAACGCACAGCCTCTGACTAAGCTCCTGCTTTTGGCTCTCTCAGTGCCCAGATCTGCTGAGTTGGTTTTTCTGTTCCCTCCGCCACTCAGCCTCCTAGGCTCCCTTTATAGCTGCCTTCTGGACAATTATTAAGCCTGGGGCCGCTCCTAGGGAACCCAGTGTCCTGAGGGAGACAAGAAAATAGATTACAGACAGCCAAACTGCAGGGTTATGGGGGGAGGGCTCCCAGAAAGTGGCAGGCCAGCCTGTTTAGCACCCCATGTCCCCAGGATTTCTGCCTTTTCCATGAATGCCTGCCTGAGAAACCAGCTGTGATTAAAAGCTCAATCTAATTACTTTTATTTGCAAGAGCCCAGGGGAGGCAGGGGCGGGATGAGCAGAGCTGCCCTCTCTATCCAGCCCTGCTCCCTCAGTCACCATCTCACTCATTCACTCAGGGAAGGGTTAGGAGGACTTCCTCGTTGCCAGGCACTGCAGTAAGCATTAGATCCATTTCTGCAGTCTCTCCCTCCTTCAATGAGACATAACATCGCAACAAGCCTCATCTCCAAGCCTTCTAGAGTTGACCTCACCCACTGCCTAGCTCATAACAGGACACTCTATCCTTGGGGGTACATTCTGGCACTCCCAGAAATAGTAACATACATATACATATATGAAATATTTTCTTATACATACCTATAGTAAAGTTTACAAATTAAGCATAGTAAGAGACTAACAATTATAACAATATACTTCAAACTTATGAATTGTTTATTTCTGGAATTTTCCATTTCTTATTTTATCACTTCAGTTGCCCTCGGTAACTTACACGAAAATGTGGCTAAGAGGGAACTCCTGCAGTTGCAGAATGAGAAGCAGGGAGAACTCCCGCCCCGTTGGCTCCAGTGTCAAGCGGAAAGCTCCACGCGGGGCGGAGTCCTCGATGGTGCCCCTCAGAGCTGCCTCTGGGACCCCATTCCTGGAGAGACATCAGAGCGGGCTTCCGTCTGGCTGGGTCTGCAGGGGAGCGCGGGAGAGGCCGAGCACCCCGCTTCCCAAGCCCGCTGCGCCGCTGGCCTTTCCGTTCGGCCGGGCGGCAACTGGAGCAGAAGGCGCGGGCGGGCGGGCGCACCTAGGCGCGGAGGGCCTGGCAGGAGAGCCCGCAGCGAGGACTCAGAGGGAACCTGGCCAGCGCGTGTCCCCAGGACACCCGATTCCGGGGTGGGAACTGCCCAGGCTTAGCGCCGGAGAGGAGTGGAGACCACAGGAGTGAGCGAATTAAAGGGGGACATCAGCGCCTCGGCGGCCCCCAGGCTCAGGAACTGCCCCCCACCCCGGAAGAGGCAGCTGCAGAAACAGCCCGGATCATACCGGAAGTTAGACATTGCCAACACTGGAACCCCAACACCTGAGACACCTCAATCCGGTTCTCCAGTAACGCCCCGCCCCGCCCCGCCCGCTCCCCCTACCTGATCCGAGGCTGGAGCCCGACTAAAATGGGGCGGGGCCAGGCTGGCGGG